AAAGCAAGTTTCATTTCTGCCTTAGTGAGAAAAACTCAGCTGAAAAGTGCGATTTGTTTGGTTTAATTGTTTAACTTTTTACGACTTTTCCTGAAAAAACAAGTTGTAATTCCCCCTCTCGCTTTTCTCGCTTCTCTTGCTTCCCTCAGTTTTCTAATGACAAACTTTTTTTTGCAGTTTCAGAAACATCAAGACGCGAGACATCATCTTGGAATCTGGAAACGGCAACTCTGACAAACCTGTCCTCACATTTTATAAACTAAATCAATATCAGGTATTTAAGGAAGTAATTGTTAAATCAATCAGTGATGAAGAGCTTCAGCCCAAAAAAACAGTTTTTACATCAACTCAGACACAAAGGAAAATGTACACAGCCCAGAGTTCAGTAAAAATATGATTTCATTCATAATATGTACAAAATACAAATACAATTTATGTACTAAAATGTACACACTCAAAACTCATTAAGCCTTGCCAGTGTTTGAATTCAGCAAAAACCAAATTCACACAGATAATCATCCATTTTGGAGAAAGAAAAGAAATAAGTACTCGCTCACAGAAATGTAAACATACACAGATATCAATATTTACAGAAGAAGAGAAGGAGCTCTGGAGAGGACGAGGAGCAGACGCAGGAGCGCTGGGAAAGACCGAGGCTGCACCGACCGTTTCTGTCCTTAAGAGTCGTCCGAGCACAAACATACCAGTGATTCAAGAAGAGAAAATAGCTTATTTGACACAGAAGGTAATGGGCGTAAAAAGCTTGTGGATAGATAAATATACAGACGAATGTTTAGTTCTGTACCAGTGATCACACAAAAAACATTTTTAGCGAATATAATGAACCAGTTTGGTTCAGTTTGTTCTCTGAATGTTTTTGGAAATTATAAACTTCTTTTAGTGAGCAAAGAGTCAATTTAACTTCTAGAGAAGCAACAATAGATTATTTCAGACATCATCATATAACGGTCCGAACGGAAAGAAAGAAAGCTGTCGGTTCAGAGGACACTACTCAGCTGATTGAAGTTTATACAAATAGTAACGTCTCCCTTACAAAAATAATTCACAACTCCTGTTCACAAAATCCTTCTTTTAAAAATAGCAGGAATTTCTATTTTTTACTTACAAGTTATTTCTTTTAAGACTTCTACAGTAAAGCGCGCGAAAAATAACTTCTGTTCAGTTAAAAATATTCAAAAGAATAGAAATAAATTATTAGCAGTACAGGTGTGATTCAGGTTACGAGTGTGAGTGTGTGTGTGTGTGTGTGTGTGTGTGTGTGTGTGTGTGTGTGTGCTGCTGAAGTCTCTTGTGAACGTGAGGTTTTGTCGGGAAATAACTTCTCAGGTGAAGCAGGCGTCGTCTGGGCGGCTCTGAATCAGTCGTGGGTCGCCAGCTCTCTGCGTGCGTCAAGAGGAAAAACCCAGCTGTGCTCGACAGAACGGACTAACAGGCTGCGTCCAGAGCCAGAGACAAGAGCAGCGCAGATGGCAGCAGAGAAGGAAAATCAGATCTTTTCTCCTGCAGGGGTGAGATGTGTGTGTGTGTGTGTGTGAGAGCAACGGTCCGTCATATATTTCTTTTTTTTCCTCAGATGAACTTGGACGACTCTCTTTTGCTGATGAGGACTTCCAGCAGCCGCAGTTTGGCTTTAACATGCTTGTATTCGTTGTACTCCACTGCCAATGGGGAGCGGTCCTCCTTCTGCACATTTCTATGGGAACAGAACGTGGGTGGAAGACAACAAACATTGAGAAATGGGTTCAGCTGTGGAAAAGCCAGCATTCATTATGCGGCCTCCGTAACATAATCTGAAGAAATTCTTCTTCTGGTCTTACCTTCCGTTCTGTCTGAAGAACTGGTCCTCGAACTCTTTCAGGTTTTTGCGGATCCTCTTCTTCTCCTCTCTGGACTCTTGGAGCTGTTCCACCAGCTCCGGCCTGTGAGAGAGAAGACATATTTAAATGTCTCAAATTAAAATGGTTCAATGGGACGAAACAGTGGTGGAAGAAATACTCTGATCCTGTAAGTACCAATGCAGCCAGAGAAAAAGTACTGCAGTACTAGTATTTTAAGCTAAAATTTACTTGAAACAACTTTTAATATATATATGTTCTTGTTAAATATATTATTAGATTATTAATACAGATGCATCAGAGTGTAAATAGTGAATAGCAAGTTGAATTTGGGGCCGTGAGATGATTAATGGAAGAGAAAACAAAACAGAAAGCTGTGTCCATATTTACTTTTCTATCATTTTAGATTTTTTGGGTCAAATATCAGATAAAATGACTTTTCAACTGTATAATAAATACGTTCATATGCCTTTTTGTAGATAATCACAAACCAAAACATTTGTAAATTATATATGTAAATCAGATTTTATCAGCTTCAAATGTGTTAAATGTTAATCTAAAAATGAAATTGTATCTTTTACTACCTAATAAACTATATTTGCTTCTGAAATAGAAGAAGTATAAGAAGGAAGTGGCGTAAGAGCGTTTCTTTCAGTGACTCACATGGTGGCGGAGTGAAGGTTCGACAGCCTCATGTCTGTTGTGTTTTGAGACGGCGAGAGCTCATCCACTGGCGAAATGAAACCGTCCGCTTCCTCCTCCATGTGGTCGAGGAAGCCGAGGACGCTGAGGTCGGGCCGCTCGGTCACGGTGAACTGAGTCTTGGAGTCTCCGTCGTCCTCTGAGCCGTCCTCCTCCTCCTGAAGGAACACACGCACGCAGGTTAAACGTTGTGTTGCCAAACGTGACCGCGAGCTGGCACCTCTCCCGGGCTCAAACGCTCCCAGTGCATGATGGTCGTGCAGTGTTAGTCGTCAATCATCGGTGTACGGCAGCAAAATGCACCTCAGAGGTCCTCATCTGTGATTCACGTCTCATTAGTGTTAAGATGTATTTGGATTTATGAGCGAGTAGAAAACACACAGTTCAATGAAAACACACTTGACCGGCTTGAAACAATCTGGTAAATAATGAGCCAAGAATTTGGTTTCACAGCAGTTTGATTCCAGTTAACAAACCTGAAGGATCAACGGATTCAATAAAACTTGGGTCTTATTTTTGTCATTACTAATCTTGTTCCAGTTTCTATGCAGATAAATGATTTGATTCAATTGCAGCAGAATGTAACACAAGTATTCTTGGTTACATATGAATATTCTCAAGTGGCACAGGAAACTGTCAAGTCTAATAGGTTGTGTCAGGATTTGTCTGATAGTGACTGCTCGTCCATGCTGCCACGTTCTTTTAATCAGACACTAAATCCTTTCAACACCAACACACCTCTGTATGTTAGACACGGTCTTTCCACATGCATGTTTTAAATATAGTTATGATGAGATCTGTTACACGCAACATGTATCTCACTTCTGTCCGTCCTGGGAGGGGGATCCTCACTTGTGTTATTCCCTCTTTGAAAGTTTTTTAAGAACAGAGGATGTTGCACCTTGGGCAGATTTATAAACCCTAGTGGTGATTTGTGAATGTGGGCGTAACAAACAGAATTTGATCGATCTCTACAAATCTCACGTTGTAGATCTCGATTAAAACTGTAAAAATAAGACCCAAGCTGATCATCAACAGAGCGTTTTTCTATTTCTATATTTTCATCGCGATTCAAACATCATGTCCATCCAGCTACTGATTCCACATTTCTACAGATGCCTCTCTACAGTGGCAGGAAACAGGCAACCGGCCAATCAACAGGCAGCAATCAGGTTCATTAGAGGAGTTTCAACAGGGAGGTGGAGTTGGAGGGTAGTAAGGGAGGGGGGGTGTGGCGAGGAAGGGGGAGCTGACGACTGATTATTGAAGCAACGGCAGCTCTTCACCTTGATGTCATCGAAGAAGAGCGCGGTTTCGCCCTCGATAATGGGCTGAAGCAGCGGCCCTCTGCGCTTGCTGGAGGGGGAGCCCTGTGGTGAGCGTCAAGAAGGAGGAGTTAACCACGCTGAGACGCTCACAACCAGAAAACGCCTCACACCACCGACGTCTGGGTCCAAACCATTATCAGCTGTTTTCCTTATTTACTTTCTATTCTCCTTTTTCTCCTCTGCAACACCAGCTTTTTATCCACAACGTAGATCCTCATCACTTTAAGATTCAAGTTAAGTTACAACTTATTTTGCAGCCTAAAACCAAAAAGTGCAATAAAGCAAATATGAATCAATTAAAATAATAAAAAACAGGAGAATATATTCATGATTGTGCATTTGACTGAAGAAACTGTACTTGACTTCTCTGGGATAATAAACACACAGCACCATAACTTCCACTGTACAGACTAACCTATGGCCGTGGTCCCAATTTGCACGATGAGGATTAGAGGTAGTGCTTTATATAATACTGTTTGTCCATAACACAGATCATGTCTTACATAATAAAAATGGTTATTAATATGTACATGAACAGTGAAACTAAAGCATTTACACTCATCTCAAAGGCAGAATTATTTCATGTAATTTGAAATAAATATGTCTCATCAATAATCCTGAATGTATTCTGAGACAGTTTTAGTTTCTCACTCTCTCCTGCACTCGTCTGTTCAATTCCTGTGAACTCGGTCTGCCACCTATGAGCTCCTTTACGAATGGATGATCCACTGAGCAGCTAAAGCCGGACTTTAGAGCCTGGAGCGATGGATAACACGTCTGTGGCACGGCTGCCTTTGGCTTCCCACAGCAGGCACTAAAAGCCAACGGGAACTGGGATTAAGTGTCTGCCAACGTGTGGGCAGCGGCACGACGATTTGCTGCTCGCTTGGCGAAGAGCGGCGGGACAAACGGACAGCTGCAGAGGAGGGAACAAGGAGGGGAGGTGAAGGTGTGATACTTACAATGACAGGGATGGTGGAGGCTCTGCACAGGATCTGTTTGACCAGGCGGTATCTGTCGTAGAGCGGCTTCATGATTTGCCTCTCACTTTTGGTGACCTGAAGCAGAAACAAAGGCACCTTGTTAGCACGGCATTAGCTTCTCGCCGTCATCCTCGGTCCCCCTGCAGATTAAATAGCTGCGGCGCTAACATGAAACAAAATGACAGCTAACCCACATTGGCCAACCACAACGCTGCAAATGTTCTTCAGAGCGCGAAGGTCATTGAACACAAACCACTGGCGCTCGCAGCGTGAGGAGGGACAGAGGTGACAGAAAGGTCAGCTGCACTTCCTGATATGCAACAATGCTCGTCGGGATTTGACAACACAATTATTACGATTGCCTCTGGTCTGACATCAAACAAAGCGCGTGTCACTTTGGTTCAGTCCTCGGTCACAATCATTTCTCTCTCTCTCTGTTTTGGCCTCCGACGCCAGTAGGAGATCAGGATTATGGAGCGTGCTGCAGGTTTGTGAGCGGAGGTGGAGGTTGACTTACTGGTCGTCCGTGTATGCTCTCGTAGTAGAGGAGAGCTTTCTGCAGGGCGACTTTCTCTGCTCCGATCTGCTCCCGTGTCATATCCTGTCAGGAGGAGGACAGGAAGTGAGTCAGCACATTTTTAGAAATGACCTGAGCTCCTTCTCAGTTGCAACACAAGTTATTCCTTGTGTTCATCTTTGTACTTTTACAACATACTCATGCTTCTATCTTGTGATAATACATTCAAACTGTATACATTATTTCTATGTTTTAAATTTTCTTGTGTTGTTATTGTAGCGTTCCTTATTTATTACTTTTACTGATGTTTCAAATGTTTTCTTTCCCCTTTGCGGCAAATTTCCCCATAATGAGACTATTTATCTCAGATAATCTTATCCCATCTAATCTGACCTTATCTTAACCTCACTCCTTACTCCTGCTGTCTACAACTCAAACTAGTTTTCACTGGTCCTCGCACACACACATTAACATTTCAGTACCATCATAAATTCAAACCCTTCTGCCCTAGAGACATGTAACTCGTTCATGCGTATGAGTGTGTGACGTGGACTTGGTTTTACCTTGATGTCCTCGGGGCGGTTCACCTCCTCCCTCTTCTCCTGCAGCTTCTTTAAAATGGTCTCCAGCGTGCTCTCCACCGGCGGCTTCGGCACTTTCTCCTGCTGCGGTTTCTTCTCCAGCTGAGAGCCGAAGCTTTTAGGCAAAGTGTTGCTGCGCTGACGGGTCAGTGGTGGAAGATCCTCCTCAGACTTCATCAGCTTGTGTTCTGTTGGGGAAAAACTACGTATGAGCTTTGTTGATTTTTTAAATCGTCTCATTACAAATCAGTGCTTTAAATATTTATGTGTTTTACCTTTGAGCTCTTTGCGGAGTTTGGCCAGTTCAGTTACCCACCTCAGCACTTCTGGGTTTGCAGCTTTATCACTATGGGAAGGCTGGATGAAAAAAAGGATTCATATTTCAAATTAATACAGCGATGAAAATAAATTTGAGCTGTGTGGGATCATCAGCCCTTTCATAAGGGACCGGCCTTGTAAACAAACAAGTGCAGAGCTCTACTCTCTATTTTCAATTCATTTCAATAAGTCATAAATCTCCACTCAGGCAATCGATAACCTTGCTTATGATTTCTTATTACTCACCCTGTATTTTCGCTCATCTTCAAACTTCTCCTCAAATCTGTGGATCTTCTTCTTCAGGAAGTGAACCCTCTTTGTGAGCTGAGCCGATGTCAACTCCTCTTTCTCGTCGTCACAGGAGCCGAGAGATGAACTCCGTCTGCGACTGAAGAGATAAATTACGTTAATGTCACCGAAAGCTTCTTCCCATTTGCCTCTCAGATATACGAAACCACGACATGCGTCTTACCTGACAAACGAGTGTGCGTTTGGCGGTGAGGGAGGCACTTCAGTGTCGTCCAGGTACTGCTGGCACTGTCCGTAGGTGTAGAAGCGAGGTGACAGCATGGGGTCGCTGTCTTCCTCCAGCAGCTGGCGGATCGGTCGCCCCCCCGCGTGAGGGGACAGTCGAGCTTCCTCGCGGTCCATGCTCTCCCTCTGCAGTGATGAGAACGCTGGGACGGGTTCTGAAAAACACAAACATACGCAACTTTTTTTAACCCAAAAATCCCTTTCCAGTTTGTTCACATCAGTGAGAGTAGGTACAGTATGTTTGTGAGCAGCAATGAATCTGTGTATATACTTACAAATTAATATGTGTGTACATGTATCTATACATATATACATACAATTATCTTCATCATCATTTTTCCATTCTAAAAAATATAAATTTTCTGCAAATCAACAAATCTACTGAGTAGCTTTAGATTATTTTGTGTGAAAGTCACTGGACATGATGAAGCAGCTCTTTCTCTCAAACCTAAAAACTTCCTCTGGGGCTCAACAGTCTCAGATGTAGTGAAACTGAGGGTTTGACCCTCCTTCTCGCTGTTCACCCCTGGTTACAGTCTACACTCTGGCAATAATTATGTCTGGTGAATGTAGTCCTGCAGATACCCCTGACAATCCTCGGGCTATTAATAAAGCCTGCCTCTCTGTGGGATAATGTCAGGGTGTGACCTACGTTGAGAGGCACAGTAATGAGTTTGTGATTTAGTTTCCACTCAGCATGGTGACGAGGTACACCCACCAAGATCTGTCTGTTCAAGCACGTGTGCATGGGAGCGTTCGATGTTATACTAAGAAGGGAAAACTCCACAGAAACTGCCAACACATGAAACTCAGCAGGGGAAATAATGTAGATTTCATGGAAAACGAGAGAGATGTAATATCAGGTGTTGGTGGACTCTAGAAATATACCGCAGAGTAGAAAAGATGGAGGAAGTGAAAACACACTGTGAAGGAAACCAACCATCAGTGTAAACAGTTACGGTATTAGAAAATATGAACACCCAGTCTAAAACAGCAAGTGCATATTTTTCTTAGCTGTGGTGAGTCGGAGCGACTTAGATCATATTCCAGCTTCGGAGTCCCGGGGGTCCTCCAGCACCTCAAGGTACGTGCAGTTTATCAAGCAGTTGCTGCCTGGCGCATTGAAGCTTGCTTCTTACAGGTTTATTATCTGAGCTCAGAGTTCAGGCCAGTGTAGCCGGACAGTACGACTCCATGGCATCTGAAATTAATCCTTTAAATCAACTGCTCGCTGATGGTTCAGGATTAACTAGACTAATGAAACAGAAAACATGCCAGTTTGTCTTTCACTAAAGGTTGTTGTGTGTGTGGAACGCTCAGCCACAGTGTTCCAGATCATTCATGCATGTTGCCATGCAGAGGAAAAGGTCATTCACATAAGCATTTCTTTCTTTGTCATATGTTATTTGCCGAAAAGTGATGTAACACAACACTTACCATCACAAAAACTTGGATGGAAAATGCTTTTGAAATCAAGGAAAGGGATGTTAAAGAATGAAGATTCTGGAAGAACAACAGAAGAGAGGCAAGGAAAAGGAAAGAAGAGGAAGTAATGAACAAGACATAAAACAAAACAAAACAAAATCATTTATTTCCATGACTAACTCACAACATGTGAACTTCAGATGTGTCTCTTCCCATTCAAATGTCAATTAATGTGTTTCCAACATCGCAGTCAGAGCATCGGCAAATATCAGGTCACCATGACAGACACTGGCACAAAGTGTACTGGGACAAAGGTCTCACACCACTGCCCGATGCCCACTCCCCCCCGCAAATCCATTTATACAGTCTAACACATTGTGTACAGTGGGCACACATCCCCTAATTGAACTTAAAACCACTGCACTGCTTTATTAACTGCTGATTCTGCCCGGCTGAACAGAAATCCCACTTCCTTATTGATGAATAAACGTGCCTACTTCAGAGCTCAACCTCACAGCTGCAGTTTGTGCTACGGCGAGCCCGGTTCATCCTCATGAGGAGATGCTTTTTGTCTGCATGGCTCTGTCTCAGCCAATGATGCAGGGTCCCTGTGGCGTCCTCGCTGTGTGTAATGTTATATTTCCAGGACAGAATGTACAGGAAGCAGCTTTAAGTAAAGCCTGAAAATAACAAGAAGCCGAATGTCTTCATATAAGCACGTGAGCTGTAGGTTTCCTGAACAAACAGGTAACCTGCTCCTTGTCCTCCCTCAGCGCAAATGATCTTTTAAAAACAAGAGTGCACACACACTGAGAGACACGATCTACCAGTGACAGAGCGACAACACCACAACATACCTTTATGCACACTAAATAAGTTTTATAATCCAGATGCAACACTTCAGTACCTGACAACTTCTCACATGCAGCAAATGTTGCAAAGCAACAAAAACAACAACCCCTGCTTATTTTGATGTATCATATTTGGCCACTAGAGAGCTCCACTAAGCATTAATTCTCCTGTGAAAGCTACAAATATGAGGCTGTGGAAGTTGAGAGATTTATAACATGGAACTATTTTGCTCTGTTTGCCACATCAAACAGGAAACGGGGGGGGGGGTTTCGATGCTTGCAGCACTTGCTGCAACACGTCCTTAAACTGTCTTTGACTGTAGCCATGAACCTGTTGGTTATCATTCCAGTACAGTTCAGCAAAATGCTTGGCTTTCACCGCCCAGTAAACCTTCACCCCCCCTCTGTGTGTCGCAACCTCCTAACAAAACAATCACAGTCTCAGCGCACGACGATTGTGCATAGTTTCCTTTCTGCAGAAATGCCAACACTGCATAAACTAAAACACTAATAACAAACTCAAAAGGAGGTCTGACCGGAAAACAGAGCAGAGTATGAATAATGAAAAGCTCGTGGCTATTTTTGCAAACTCTGCATTAGTAATGACACTTGATCAAGCTGCATCAATAAATTAAACTGGCATACTTCATTAGTTCCATTTAAATTTGATCTTGTGCAAAGCTGCTATCGAGTACACACGCATGGACATCATCATCACTATTCCTGGAGTGACAGAGAAAACACGAGCTGCTCAGAAAATGTAACCCCACTTTTTCAAAAGGGCACAAGACTGAAAATTTCAACTAAGGCTCAGTGCAAGCCACGTTTCTACAGCTACACTGTTATCACCACTCCACCTCCCCTTTAATGATTGATTTTGATTGGGAACTACAGCAGCAGCTGAGTCTGTAAACAGTTCTGAAATAATTTGCCAAGTAAAAAAACTGTTTACCTCTTAATAAAACCACAGGCGGAGCCATAAACTTATAGGATAGAGGACACAAGGTTCCCGTGTGGTCTCCAACAAAACAAACTGTGTGCAGCGCTGGTTTGTCTCGCCCATTGAGCAAACAAGTAGAGCAACAAGGAGTGTTTCCCCTCCAGATATAGGTGGCTAGAGAACTTAAGAGGATCTTTTACAATTAAATCCTACAAAAGAGGCAGAAGGAGCTGCATCAGTAGGAGAAGGAGGAGGCAGCAGAAGATGTGCAGCTGCTACCTAGAAACCCATGTGCAGGGCTGGGTGGAGGAGTGTGTGGGCTGTCTGGGCATGTGTTTGTATAGAAAGGTGTGTATTCCAGATAGATTTGTGAGTTATTTTGAAATGAGGTAGTGCATGTCAGGAAAAGAAAACAACATTGAGAGAGCCCTCAGCCTCACCTCCCCAGTTGTCGTCCTCGGTCAGTGCTGTGAGGTCCAGCCGGGGAACATCCTCGCAGCTCGTCTTCTCACAGTCCGAGTCCCGCACCTCTCCGCTGCTGACCCTCCCCGTGTCACAAGTGACAGGCGACTCCTGGATCTTCATCCTTAACGTCTGCACAACCATGAGAGAAAAGAGAAGAGCTCTCAACAACGACGACCAGCCTGTGAACACACTCTTTAAGTTGAGCCACACACTCCCTCACACTGGCCCTTCCCTAACAGAGGGGGCTGGTCCCCGCCCGCCATTGGCTGCCACGGCTGGCCAAAACATCCGCCCATCTGTCTTTGGCTGTTTGTGAGCGAGCAGGAGAGGATTGGTTCTGCCTCCTCTCTCTTGCCCACTGGGGTCCCTCAGCCCACCCTCTCTTCCCTCCCTCCCTCCCTCCCTCCCTCCCTCCCTCACATAATTTCTCTTCTCTCTACAGTAGCCCGCCTGGCTTTTTCTTCTCCCTGCCTTCTCACTAACATGCATATATTCCCCAGCCGAGCGCCGCTCTCGACTTGTTTGTTCCACAGCAGAAAGAGCAGAGGGGAGGGGTGGAGGGGTGTTAAGAAAGGAGGGAGGGAGCAAGGACAAAAAAAATTGCAGACAGATTGTGAGCCAGCACACGTAGGCTGACTGAGTGATTTGTTTCTGCCCTTATCTGTCTCTCTCTCTCGCTCTCTCTCCACAGACAAACATTCAGCTCAGAGCAGAATCACTACATGCAAACCTCCAACTCCAGCAACATTACTTCTTCAATCGTTACCCATCATCCACCACTTTCTTCCAACCTCGAACTTCCCTCAAACTCATTTTGTTTATCCATGATCAAAGCTGCTTGTTGAATTATGGTTTAATGTAAGTAATTTGGGAAAACAACATACTCCACATATCCTGTATTTACAACATGTCTACGCATCACTAAGCACTAAGCCCATAGGGTCCCGTTTCCTCTGTCTGGGCGTGGGACCAAGCTATTTTTAGGAAAATCAGATCAAGACACACTGTTACGAGACCTTATAAATGCCTCAAATGACTTACAGGAAGGCGTGCAGTCAAATCTGCTGTTCATGTTCATGATACTAAGCTGTTGTTGTTGTTGTTGTTGTTGTTGTTGGCAGGTTTACGTAAATGTGTCTCAGGTGTGTGTGTGTGTGTGTGTTGAAGTGAAGGGAACAAGCACAAAAACAGAGAGTTATCACGTCTCCTCAGTTGTTCCTCGGGAAATACCTCGGATGTGATGTGATGTGAATAACAGAGGATACAAAGTGGGATTAGTGCCCAGAGAGAGATTGTGCGAACAGTGGCCAACTAATAACAGAAATTTCCCCTAAGTAGCACTTACCATCACTGAACCCCCCCCCCCCCCCACCCATGAACAAGTACATACCGCACCAGCTCACTCGGTCAACAATCAAGAGCCCCTTACCACAGATCTACACACACGCACACATATAATCCTTGAAACAACATTTCCCAAAATGACACGTTGGATCAGCCTGTAGACCCAGTGTGCACAGAAACAAAACATTCATACGTCCACTGACTTCAGGAAGTTGTTAACTGCAAAGGATTTTCCACAAAATAGTGAATATGAACCTTTTCTTTGACGTGATGTGAATCTGTCTCATTACTATTGAACCCCTAAACTTTGGGCAGTATGCATCCCATAATGCTGCATTATCATAGCTTTGAACCGAAACCAATGGCAACGTGGCATTACCCTACATAATGCAGAAAACCAGCGAGTGAGAGACAGTGGACATTAGTGAGACAGGAGGAGAAAGGTTTGTGTAGGAAGAAACAACAACATGCAGGAGACAATCATTCTAGGTCATTCATGATTCTTATTGTTCTCCTCAATCATGCAGCTCTGATGTGGAGGTTGGATAATGTTCTCTAGATGTGAACATTAGAAATCTCTCTGTTCATGAGTCAGAGTTGTGTTCTCTGTAATCGCTCAATTAGATGAGATGATTTATGAGATGCACAAAATACAGAACATATATAAAAATAAAATAAATGGCTTGTATCTTTAATATCTGTCTTTAAGTTTATTTTCAGTTGCATCATTGCTTATATGGAATTGAATAATAATCATCATCATCATCATCATCATTAATGTTATATTCAAATGTGTCAGTATTATTCACGATCACAGGACACTGAAGCAGTTAAATGGCATTCAGCCATTGATCATTTAAATATTCACACAACTGCATCTCACTGTTTAAGGTACTGAAGAGGCATTTTAAGAAATAGTTGAAACTACTAAAGGTGAAGTATAAACGTTCACACTTAGATTAAGTAGTAATAGTTTTAATAGATAGCGTGACTAGTTGTTGGTTTCATGCCAATTAGCACTTCATTCAGAAGTAATCAAGAACACTTAATCTAATTTAAGTTAAGTGTGCTAAATAGATTAAGACAAGTTTTTTTGTATCTTTCATCATGCAATTATTAAAGAATTGATCCACTGGGCTTTGACACGCAACAGTCTACAGGGTGAATGTAATGTAATGAGTCTCCGAGGAAAGAGATGTTGAGAGAAGAGCAACATTTAATCACGTAATAGACTGTTAATATGTGGAAATGTCTTCATCAAGCTGCACTTGTGAATCAATAAGAACTTGTAGTCACTTCCTCACTTTGATTCGACAATGAGTTCATCATACACCTTGTAGCAGCTTAATCAATCTGCTCATCACTGGCAGCATCATGTCGTTTCATTTGTCAGAGCACAATGTGACATCAGTTCAAGTTTCTCTGAGGAGAATCACTACGGATTAGCAAGAGGACAGATGTTACAGCTCACCGTGCTCCTGCTGGGTTCAAATGTAATTCAAACACTATAGGTCCACGCATCAGCTGACACACACACATGCTACACACTCACATGATACACACTGTTCCTTGGAACATCAGCCGCTGTATTCACTCACTCGAGCTGCGATTACATCATCATGAGATGTCCAGCTGTTGCTCTGTGTGTGTGTGTGAGTGGATGCATTAGACAATGATTAAGCTGTGTTTGGGCTGCTTACACACAGTGGGGCATTTTGCTGAGATGGCACACAGAAAAGAAATCTCCACTGAGTCTTATTGTGTCTGACCAAAACCCAAATACATGTATATGCTAAATTATTAAATACATTTATATTAAGCAGTTCATACAGGTCAAACTGTTTCTGCCAGATCACAGAAATAAAGTGAATACACGCAGGTATACACCAGCTTATATTGTATAACTGAATATTTTAAAAATCTGCTCCGGTGGATGAGGTCACGGTACCGTCAGGATCAGTTTATTAATTAATCCAACTAACTGCTGCTCAGGAAGAGGAAGACAGAGAGGGCCTGATGGTAACGATCATGTCTGTGTGATGCTCATGTTGCACCCTGGGCAGTAATGACCACTGAGAAGCTGCTGCACTCAGAACGGCGCCATGGTGGCTCCAGATGGCCGCTCAGTGGCACAGTGTGACGGTGGCAGAGCTGCAGCCTGAGCTGCTGCTAAAATCCATCTGGACTTTAACAAATGCCTCGTCAAATATTCACCACGTCAGTTCAGTACTGCAAGATTCTGTTCAGTGGAGCAGATTCTGTTCAGCTGTCCAGATTAAAAGTGGAGACGAGCAGATGGGGAAGGTGACTTGTTTACTTGTATCTACGTCCACAGCAACTCTTATTCCTTGAACAGCTGATTTAAAAACAACTGTATGTGAATAATGGTGAGAAGTGTCCTCTCCTGTTATCAGTCATATAGGGCTACTGTATCCTGTGCTTCTTCTATCACACACTGCTGGTACAGCTGTCAGTGGACATTTGAGGTTCATTATCTTGCATGTGAGCCGGAGGAGCCTGGAATCGAACGTCTGAACTTCTGGTTAGTGGACAACACACTGTATCACCTGAGCCCCAGCCCAGGTATTAGAAGAAGATGGATGTCAGAGCAGATCCACTTTATAAGAAGGAGGAAGAGGGAAACTGATAGAGAAAGACTGACAGGAAAAAAACTGTAAACTTGATCTTACCTGTGGAGGAGAAGGAAGACCATTTTTTCTTGAAATGCCATTCCTGAAAAATCAGACAGTTTTTAATCATACAGAAGCCTCAGAAATCCCTGCACAGTGTATTTGTATACTTATATAAACAGTATATCTTTGCTGCCTGTCTTTATCAGATAGTGTCTCTCAGTATGACATAAACATCTCTTTAGGCAACAACACAAACAGAGCAGCCAGTGTAAAACACACATTTAGTCAACAGTTGCTACAGTTTGTGTTTACATAAAAATGTCAAAGTGGTGAGAAGAAGCAATTCATTACGTGTTATGCCATTTTTAAAAAAATTACTTGATTGCTAAATTAGCAATCAAGCTAAGAAAGTTACCCTGTCTGAGATGTCTCCATGGGCTTTGGTCCAGGTCTCTCATCAACACACTCCTTTACCTGGAAAAAGATAAATACTGAGGTGTTTGTAGACAGACATCAGTTCCACATTCATCTTATATTTAGTTTTATTACAATGTGCGCATAATTAAAACTATAACAATAACTATAACAATTTCCTGCCAAAATATCTAATTGCTTTGGAAGTAGCATTAAATAAACGTTGATATAAGTAAGACCTACCTTAAGACTTATCAAGGCCTAATATTCAGATCTTAAAATGTTAAAGTTTTTTAGAACTGCAGGAACCCTGAAACAATATCACACAATAAATGGGACTGAAGGCTGAAGTTTGTCAAAAAGGTCACACAGAACCAACCACATTGTATATAATGTACTAATTGGATCTTTCTGTGTTGTTTACAATGAAAAGCACGATGACAAAAACAGCTTTCAGAGCTCTGGATGACCTTCGATGGCTCTTGACATAACAAGCTCCCATTTACAGAGACGGCTGTTCACACCGACAGACACTCACTCCCATCAAAGCACTGCTGTCAGCCACTCAGCACAATAGTCATCCAGCCAGTCTGCTATGCAGTGCCAGCTATCACATACCCTGTATACACCCTATGTGTGTCAAGGCATCGTGTGTCATCTGCACCGTTATATAACGGGTTGGTGCAGGGAGCATTAAAAACATAAAACCACCAGCGAGCTCTGAGATCCACTTCCGTCAGTGTGAGAGTGAGCTGATGAAATCTATTTCCATCACTGGGGGGGTGGAGAGCAGCTCGGTATGCAGCTGATCTTCACATTAAGACACATCAGAATCCAGCATGCTAACATGCAGCTATAGTGGAGGAGGAGTGTGCGGAGATTGGATCCTGTTACTACAGCTACAGGCTTCACACCATTTCCTCGTCACAACTTTCACAGTTCTCTCACACTCTTTGTAAAGAACTCTCTCTGTACCACAGCACTGTTAGCTATGACTCATTCAAACTTGGCGGGCGAGAGAGCTGAGAGTGGATTGTATTATCTGGCTGTGCTTGTACTCTAGGGGAAAGTGATGCAGATAAAATCTTGTATCGTATCTTGAATTTTTAACTGTTAATTATTTGGAAGGTTTTGTTTGGATTGATCAATAACATTGTGAAAAATGCCCATCACAATATCGTCGTTGAGTAAAACCCTAAACCTAATTTTAAATTAGTATTTTTTGTAGTAAGATTAAATGCTTAATAAAATTAAAATTTCTAATAAATAATGTGTCTATTAACAAATCCTTTAATGCATATGCAATGATGTAAACATCAGTCCACAGTTTCAATGCTAATACAAAACAATACTTTTCTCAGAACCTTACTTTGAGGAACACAAATGTTTTTCTACAGAATTTTTGTAGAAATGTTTTTTAAAGCTCAATGTTTGAAAGAACTTTCCGTCCATTATTTCAATCTCAAATTTTCTGCTCAGAAAGTAAACAGACAAATACAGAAAAACTAATCTGAGCATTCGATCCTGTCTTAAGTTGCTCTACTTTTTCAGTTATTTGGTGCTATGAACAAATTTCAGTTAGAATTGAAATTTTCATATCACAATGTGTATAAACAATATTTTATATTATGGCAAATTTTCCCAAAATTTGACTGAGACGTGGTGAAGGGATAAAACAACCTGAATTACCAAAAATATGAAAACCCTGAAATGGATTTATGAACATATGCCATAAAGAAGAGCTACCTATTAATTTGTAACATTGTGAGGAATTATTTAAAACAACCAAAGATATTTAAGAGGTACTATTGTTGGAAATAGCTTAAAAATGTTTCCCTGTTGTCCATTTCGTGGTATTCATTTGTAAATAAATACATATTTCCTCAAACTGTCCAACCCTGGAAGGAGCTGTTTTGATAAATAAAACTACTAAGGATTCAAAGAATAAGTAAAATAAACGATTTAAGAAATATTCTACGTGAAAGAAATACTTCACTGTATCCTCGACAAGATACAAATGCTGATCGCTTAATAAAACCAGCACTTGGAACATGTGGTCTCGAGAAACAAACCACAACAGCTGAGAGGTCATGTTGCTCTCATGTGGATCTTATTAACTGGATAAAAGCTGCAGCTAGATGCTCACTCATCGCCAACCCTAGCCCTTACATATGCACTGCTCCTGGAAAAAGTGGTTAACAATCAGTGTAGCAGGCTGCATATTACATCCCCCTGTACAACGACAACAGCAGGGGGCCATTAGGCAGCTGCACAGCTTCCTGTCATCTTCCAACTTGTCTCCATTTAGTGATTCTTGTTAACTGCAACACTGTTATTTGCACGGAGCCAGAGACAATGATGGCAGTGGTTTGAGCTGAATCCTTTGTCAATTTATCTGCAGCACAGGTGCATTAGAGGAAATGATGTGTGAATGTGGTGATGCTGTTTCCAATGACTTCCTCAAAGCTTAAATATTCAATTTCAGAATTTGCTACAATATAGTGAGCAACGTTACAAACTACAAGAACAAAGACAGAAAGAAGTAAAATAATGAAAACAGAGACAAGTAGAAACTGCCAAGATGGTCACAAAAATAAAAGGTGATGAGGAGAGAAGGTGTCATGACTCACTGTGTGTGCATCCTGATTGTCAGTGAGTAGCACCAGCGTGGGACTGTGTTTTGACTTCCTGGGTTTGGGGGTTCGCTCAGTGTGAGCGGTCTGGCCTCCCTGTGCGTCCACGTTGCTGCTGCCACCGCCTGCGTCCTCCCCCACGCTGCCCGAACTGCTTCGACAGCTCGATGGGATGTTCTCCTTGTTGGTGTCTGCTGTGATGGATGCAGCTCTGTTTCCAGTCAGGACAGAAAAAGGTGAGGAAATGAGATGTCTGCCTTCCACCTCACTCTCTCTGCTGCGCACTTCGGTATTGTCTTTACCGGCTTGACATCGGGTGAAATGCTTCAGGGAACTAAATGCCAAGGTCATTGCAGCACCTCATTTACTTATACCCTCTCCAGTGACTCATGTGCTGTTTAGTTTTTGTGCTAATTCTATTTACTGTCTATTTAATGTTCCCGCTCTTGTTGACATTTTCTGCCGTCTTTGGACTGATGTCCTCTTCTAATCCACGAGTCACTGATCTCTCATACTCCATCAACAAGGATTAACTTCTTACTGCAATGACTCCAGTTGCTGTGCGTGTACTATCTCTCAGTGGACGAGCTTCCCATGCAGGATGAAACCTTATAAATGTTTACTCTTACCGACATGCTAACTGGAAGTAGAACCATTGCACTGAGGTCAGAAGTTATTAATGAACCTAATGTAATTTTGAGTTACTGGTGTAAAATGTAGAAACCACAGTGCAAAAATATTCATCAATCAAGTGTTTCTGTTACTGACACACTAAAACTTATATTTCATATAATAAGCAAATAAATTGTGGAAACAAAAACAATATTTTAAGTAGCTATCTTTTAGCTAGGCTCTGATATCCTAC